CCCACCGTTTTCCGCAGTCTAGGCATAAGCTCTACCATTCCCAGCCTAATTTTACTCATTTTATTAGAAAAGCTCTCGCATGACTGTTTACACTGTAGCTAGGAACTGGAGATGGGAGCGCCAATCTGGAATCCCAATCAGAGTGAGATGTCATGTCCTCTCCTAAACAGATGAGACACAGAAACCACTGACTTTCCTTTGGGCTTACACCAGTGCCAGGAGTGATGGACCAATGTTGTATAACATACAGAAAAGCAAAAAAAAAAAAATAAGATAACTTTAACCTCACTGTCCTTAGGCAAACTTTGTTTGGAAAAATACATATTACTTTGTTAATGAATATATGGTGTACTTTACTGAAGAAAGGGTGGTGTGCAAGGACACAAACCCAGGAGGCTGAGGCAGAAAGACAGTGAGTTCCAAGGCAGTCTGGGCTACATGAAGAGTTCTTGGCCAGCCTGAGCTACCTGTGTCAAAGACAGAGACATGGAGAGAGGGAGAGAGACAGGGAGACAAAGAGAGACAGAGAGAGAGAGACAGAGACAGATACGATTATGAAGAGATAGCTATATTGTTTTTTTCTCCTCCAAGGTGTTGTTTTTTTAAATTTATTTTTTATTTTTTATTATTTATTGATTTAGGTACCAGAAATCAAACTCAGGACCTTGCGCTTGCCAGGCAGGTGCTTGTGTTGCTGAGCTATATCCCTAGCCTCTAGGTATTGTTTTCAGAGATTTCTAAACCTTTACATTTCTGAGGACTCAGAAATGTGCAACAGTATTTTTATTTGACTTGGAGAGAGGATCTCAGGAATTTCTCTGAATTTGTGGTACTACTGCCACACAGCCACCTGTTTCCCTGGAGTTCCTCAGGCACCACCGTCTTTAACGGTTTGTGTTGTGGTGCAGGCATCAAGTGCTGCACCTCCGAGCTGGGCTCTCAGCCCCGCCAGTTAGATTGGGAATCTGTTCTCCTTTTTGAGTCTAGCGTAGAAGATTAGTGCTGAAAGATGTGTGTCTGTGAGTTTACTTAACACCAAGGATGAGACACCTCTCCACCCCATGCCCACTGGGGATTAAAGCAAAGAGCCATAAGCACAGGCAGTGCCAATGAGGCGGAGCCACTGAAGCCTTTGGAGTTCACAATTTACCACAGATTGCCAGGGACGCTGGCAGTGGAACTGTGGGATTTAATGTTTGCTCTGCCAAACTGTTTTTTCCATTACAGTTATGAAGTGATTTTGAATTCCTCAAGAAAGGAATAAAGCTATCATTAATAAAATATATACAAAGTATAGAAATAAAGATATTGAAGAAAATTTTAAGCATTCATACAGAGGGAAAAATGGGAGAAGCAGGCTGCACTTGTTTTAGTTGGAAGAACTTGATTGATTCTAGTCAGTTTGCAATTTACAAATTGATTTTTATTAAAAAATATGTTTAAAATATCATGAATTGGATGTGGTGGTGTATGCCTATAATCCCTGTACTAGAGAAGCTGAGGCAGGAGGATTACCTGGAGTTCAAGACAAGCCTGGGCTATATAGTGAGTTGAAGGTCAGTCAGAACTACATGAGAGCTTGTCTCAGAAAACCAAGAATAAACTATAAATAAATAAATAAATCATCAGAGATATGCAGAGCATACCTTTCTTTCTTTCCACAAGAAACCATAGAAGAAATCCTGCCTGGTGCTGTCTGTTCCTACACCTATGCAGAGTTATAGGCAGAGAAGTTAGGGGCTGGGGACTTAGCTAAGTAGCACAGAGCCCATCTCGCAAGCGCAAGGTTGTGAGTTTGATTCCTGGTACTGGAAGAAAAAAAAACATTAGGGATATTTTTTCTTTCACTAGTTTTATATTTGTTTTTCTTCTAATATTACATAAGCATTCATTTTTTTTGTCTCTCTGAATCAATCATTACAAGAGCTTTAGCACCTTGACAAGTCATGAAAATTCATGAAAATCTAGAAGTAGTTTCCAAATTGTAGACGCTGAAACCTAAATCTACTTCCATATGACTGAAGTGTGTTCTGACATGTATTTTTTCTAAAGGCGTGCATCAGATATATATGAGAATTTTGTCTATATATTCAGGTGTATAACAACTCAAAATAATCACAGAGATTCTTAGCGAACAACAAAAGATCTTTTCCAGAAATGATGCACCTAACTTCTTTTTTTTTTTCTTTTTTGGGCATTGTGCTGAGCTACATCCCCAGCTCATTTCTCATTATTTCATTGTGAGAGGCTGGCTACCTCATGCTGCCTCGGCTGGGCTTGAATCTGTGCTCTTCCTGACTCATCATTCGGTGTGCTTGGCTGACCAACACAGACACAATAATTCTCTTTTCCTTCTCTCTCTCTCTGTCTCTGTGTCTCTATCCTGGGGATTGAGCCCATGGCCTCATAGGTGTTAGGCATCCATGCTAACATTGATCTACACTCTCAGACATTTAAGAAATATCTTTTGATACAGTGTCACTTAAATTGTCATTGACCTTCACTTTTTCACAGCTTTCGTCTCTGGAGTAGCTAGGATTACAGGTGTGTGCAATGAAATTTATAACCTTATAATGCAGCATTTAATAGCATATCAGCAATGGCTTTTTAAAAGAAGTGTTTAATGAGATAGATTCCCATATCATGAAAATCACTTCTTCAAAGTACTCAGTGATTTCTTAAGTATATCCAGAGCTGTTCAACAATCCTAATTATCTTTTCTGGGACATTTTCATCACTTAAGAAAGATACCCAATATCCACTAATGTTTAACATCCGTTTGTCTTCTCCCATGCTGTGGCAACTCCTAATCTACTTTTGAGTTCCTTCAGCTTGGCCTCACTAATACGCAGGACAGCATGAACTTCAGTGTAGGAGCCCAAGGTCTGTAGAAGTGGACTTTAAATGCACGTTTGAAAGTACAGCAGTTATCTTGAGAGCAAGCTACCGTAATGTATTTCCTAATGTGTCTGGGACGAGGGATACAGTTGAACACTACTCTGCTTAGAAGCATTACTCTTTTACAGATACTCAAGAAACCCAGTTAGGGGAGAAATCGAGAAGTGGTCGGGAGGAAAAGACCCGATGAGGGGAAAATGAGGCAGCTGTCTGTGTGCGCGTTAATCCTGATTGTCAACGTGACTACAAAGACTCCTCAGAACTTCCCAGCGATGCACACAGAAACTAAAGAACTGAAAGTCCTTAGAGTTCTTCATCACCTGGGTTCCCAATCGCTTCCCTCTGATCCTCCAAGCTACAGGAAATTCTTCATCCTCTGAACAGTTTCAGATGTCTGGGGTAAAATATGATAAATGTCAGGTGGACTTTAATTGATGAAACAGCTTCTAGTTTTTCTTTTTGCCTATTAATCAAGTGTGTTATTTTTAAGTACAAGACTTCAGCTTTTTTATTTTTTCTTTTTAAATGACAATGGATTATAACTAATTTTGGAGCACTTGTCCTGTGCCATGCTACTCTGGGTTAACTCTTCTTGCATATTATCTCTCTTTTTGTTTTGGTACCAGGAATCAAACTCAGGACCTTGCGCTTGCCAGGCAGGTACTTGTGCCACTGAGCTATATCCCCGGCCAAGATTTCAGCTTTTCACAATTGCCTAGAAGACAAGTTCTGGGGCACTCTGCAAAGTGTGCAGCAAGCTTTCCCAGCACAGGACCACAGCAACTTCTCTGCCGGGGAGTGAGGCGCACCGGGGCGGGCAGCTCTTCACCGGCCGCTGTCGTTCAGCCCTGTGTTGTGACCGCTCCTTTCAGCTTTCATCTGTCCAGAGAATTCTCCGGGTCTTGACTGACAAGGGTGCTTGTCATGCACAGGAATGCTTGGTATGAGGGATACAGAATACGATATTTGGCTGAACCCTCAAATGTGGGTGGAAAAACATAAGTATCAGAAAAAATGCACATAGTATGAGTTTAATTATAAAATGTCAGAATATGCACAAAGCCGAAACACAAGGGATACAGTCGTGTAATAAAGTAAAAACAAGAAATATAAAATTTAAGAAAGGGATTATTTCTGGCACCAAAAAGCACACTGGTCAGTAGCACATGAAGATCAAAAATAACTGGGAATGGTCCTTTCTCAATAGGGTTATTCAGTTTACAAGTGTTCACTTTGTTACTTTACACTACATTTTTATTTTTTTATTTATTTATTTTTTTGGTTTTTCTCCGGTACCGGGAACCGAACTCACGACCTTGCGCTTGCCAGGCAGGCGCTTTTGCCGCTGAGCTAAATCCCCAGCCCCTACACTACATATTTATGTTATATATTGTTTGTTTGTTTGAGACAGGGTCTCACTATTCAGCTCAGGCTGGCCTTGAACTCATACAATCCTCCTGCCTCAGCCTCTGGAGTGCTGGGATTACAGGCATGTGTACCACACCTGGCTGGGTGTTTCTGAAAATGGAAGGGGATAAAGAGATGAGTGGAGGGGGCAGGGAGAGCAGGCAAAGGGGATGAATGAAGGAATTAAGAGTGCTGTGTACATGTCCCAACTCCACACAAGGAATGGAGTAGGATGTACTACACACATGCACAGATAACATAAACAAATAATAGAAAAGTAGTTGTTCTTTACAGTATAAAGTGGCCACATTTACTAGAAGAGTTAGCTCAGAACTTCCCACCAAGTGTGGCGGGGAGGGATCCTCCCAGGCAGTGGTGGCCAGGAGGCCAGACCCTAGGGGAGCTGCCCTGTGCCCCGGCCAGTGTGCTACAGAACTGATGTCTTTCCCCGTGAGCGATGGTACGGTTAGATCCGGAAGTGCAGCGTCAGACTTGATGCTCTGACAGTGGCCGATAAGTATTACTACAGTAAGTTGTTCCTCTTAGTTTTCACACTTACTTCAACTTTTCACCTTCAAAATAACATTCTATAATTAAACAATAACAGAATAAAAACTGTCCGTTTTTCTTGTTTGGGTCCCAGTGAAAAGGACAACGTGTATGTCTACACACGCATACTTACGCACACACGTATACCTATAGTCTCACGCTTTTATTTTTCAGTGGATCACAGCAGTTCAGCAGGCCCTCTTTTCGAACCCTCCTAGGCTACTTCTCTCAGTGTCCCTGCTGCAGCCTGCACTGTGAAGGCTGCAATAGAAATCTGTCTCTTCACTTCTGCCCAGGCCTTGGAAGGGTCTGCTTTGCTTTCAATATCAAAGAGAGCATCGTAAATCCCTGGGAACGACTCCCCCGCATACTTGTTGTGGCTGCTTGGAGCATAGATGATATGCCTGTTAATAAAACAGTTTCCTATTAATTTGCTGCATGAACAATATACAAGAGAAAAACAAGAGCACTCTGCTGTCCTGGGGGGCACATTCATTGATGATTTGAATGAGCCACTTGTCAGCTGAACTTCCAAGTCTCATAACCTCCAAAAACTAGTTTATGATCTACCAGAACAGATCACATTTCTACATTAAACAGATAATTCAAACAATGACAGTAACAGCTGTTTGCCTAGTACTGATCATGCTTGGTGTTGAAGAATTAACTTATGTAAAATGAAAAGAATTTCAGCAATTGTAAATCTTAGTCTTATTATTTTTTGTTTTTTTGTTTGTTTTTTGGTGATGGGGGTACTGGAGATTAAGCACAGGTTTGGGTATGCTAGCCAAGCCTTCAGGCATTCTACCACTGAGCTGTATCCCCAGCCACAATTTTTAAAATTCTCAGTAATACAATTTACAGAGTTAATATCAGTACTTCACAGTGGAGGAAACTGAGGTCTGAGAAGTTACATGATTAAGGTGTTTGCTGCAGTGAGCACGCCACGTGCTGACTTCACTGCCTCCTGACTGCATCAGTGGGACCAGTAAGTCTGTTTGCACCGAGCCGGCTTACTACCGAATTTTACTCTTCTCTGAAAACACACGTTAACATGTTACCGTGCTTAGCTGAAAGCATGAAAAATCACCAGACAGAAATCTGTAACATCCCACCTGACCGAGGTGAAAGCTGCTTTATGGAAGGGGCAAGCCGGGTCACTGCCAGCCCTGGAGGAGGACAAGTAGCACAGGACAGAGGTGGAGAAGTGAGGGGTGCAGGGGTGCTGCTGTGGGTAAACCAGTCACCCTGCTGGATGACACCCTCCTTCCAGAGCCATCCCTTGGACTCCCTACGAAGAGACAGGGGCTGTCTCTGGCTACCGGGTGCTCTGACTCATTTTGCAACACTTAGTTCGATCAACTTGAAAATAGTTGGTATTGTCAGATATAAGTGTCCTTGTAAAAATTAAGCGAGTGAATAAATATATATTTCATATGACATATCCATATTTAGGTTTATTGTTATTTATTTTTTATTTTTTTGGCCTTTTTGAGACAGGGTCTCGCTATGCAGTTCAGGCTGGCCTTGAGCTCACTTTGTAGCCCAGGATGGTCTTGAACTCACAGCAATCTTCCTGCCTGACTTCCCAAGTGCTGAGATTACAGGCGTGCACCACCACGCCCGACTATTGTTATGTTTACAAATAAACACAAATATATTTGAAATAGGAGAAGGAATATACCAAAATATGAAAATGATTTAATACTTGGCTGGTGGGATTGGGGAAATCTGTGTTTCCTGATGAGTCTTTCTGAATCTTCTAAGTTTCCTAAGAAATTTTTCTTTTGTAATCAGAGATGAAAAACAATATGCTAGAAAGAAAGATATGTGTAGATCATATTATATTACATAAAATATATTTATCATTTATTACATTTACTTTTACATTTTCTATTTGTGTGAAGGAAATCAACTATGGTATATCTTCCACAGTGCAAAAATGTTTTAAAATGATACTAGAACAAGGAGTCTTTTTTCTTACCTATAGAAAGGCCTATCTGGTAACCCTAAAGGATCAATGAATGCTCGTTCCAGAAACATCAGTTGATCATTCATAATTCTCAATAAAATTGGGCTAAAAAATAAATATAATGATTATAACTTCATATAAATTTATGTACTCCACAGCAAACTAAAAAATCAGCAAAAATAACAATAGGATATATAATTATCATATTTTAAATATTCTATAAAACACTATTCTACAGAGCTTTGTGAAAGAGTGTGTGGCAGTGGAAAATGTAGTACATTTTATGTGTACTGAAATCATAACTGATAAACCCAGGTATATAAGAGATCCTAACTCACAGGCAACATTAATGCTGAAGTGAGCTAATCTCACTAGTAAGATAGTACATTAGCTAGGCTCCTGGGAAGTTGTACATATTTAACAAATGACAAACAGTAATATTTTTCTTCTTAAACCTGTCATGAACATAAGCAATGGCATTTACTTTACCCTTTCAATGATATTCAAACACCTGCAATGTTTCAAATATTCCCACAGAGCTCACTCACAAGCCCAAAGGCTGGAGGTAAAGTTGTTATTATAGCAAGAATGACATGATTTAATTTCAGTTTTTTCAACCAGCCTTGAGTAGTTCAGCAATGACTTACTGAATTTAATATAATAACTCTGTGAAATTACTAATAATTGTTAAAATAAGGACTACGTTTATTCATTAATTACATCTTAATTGTTGTGTTAGTTTTAGCAATAGCTCTTAGTGATCAGCTACTGTTGCTTTTTTTTTTTGTCTTTTTGAGACAGGGTCTCGCTATGTAGCTCAGGTTGGCCTTGAGCTCACTCTGTAGCCCAGGCTGGCCTTGAACTTGCAAGGATCTTCCTGCCTCAGCCTCCTGAGTACTGGGATTACAGGCGTGCACCAGCATTCCTGGCTCACCTACTTTTCCTAAGGTTTACACAATGTGTTATTTTTAATCTTCAGAACAATCCTCCAAGCTGAACAGGGTAATAGCTCCGCTTCATAAACAACGAAGGGCAAGTTTTTAACCAACTTGCCCAATTTCACAAACATGAAGTGTTAGAGTAAAATAGGAGGTAAATATTCTTCTTTTAATTGGACTATGCTGACAAGAGGAAAATAGGAATAAAGACCTCACAATGTAGATTTGAAGCTGGGCGTGGTGAACGCCTGTAATCCCAGCATTCAGGAGGCTGAGGCAGGAGGATTGGTGTGAGTTTGAGACCGGCCTGGGCTACAAAGTGAGCTCAAGGTCAGCCTGAACTGCATAGCGAGACCCTGTCTCAAAAAGACCAAAAATATACGTATATTTTTGTTTCTTCTTTTAAGATAGGGTGTCATTATGTATGCCAGGTTGGCCGTACCACAGTGATCCTTCTTCCTCAGCCTTTCAAGTAAACTATGTTCAACAATTATTTATTTAGCATCATTTACCAGTTTTTGTAATGGTATGGAAGAGGCACAGACTTTATCTGCTAGCAGCTCATAGTAACAAAATAGATGATGCAGTAAAATAATTTCAGTAAGTAGCTATAGGCTTCTGAATCAAGTTCACGAAGTACTGCTACACAACAAGAATTTGCGGGGACACACATGCACGGAGGTAGACACACCATACATCTGTCTTTACTCCACCTCCAGGCCACTCTTCTTTCTCCCTGCTTCATTCTCTCTGCCTCTCTGACTCTCCTGCTGGATTTCTGATTCTTAAAAACACTCCTATGTTCCTTGTGTGGAGCAGAGTTCAGTTTGAAGTAAAGCAAGATGTAAATGCTCAGAGACAGGAGAGGAGGGCTGACCCGCCCCCAAGAGGTACTTCTTGCTTTTGTTAGGGGGAGCCTCCTGCTCTTCCCCAGGCCTGAGAGGAGCTACAGCCTCTGCTGCCCTCGACTGCCTCTGCTGTCAAGGGGTGGAGCTCCACTGGACACAGCTCTGGCTGGTCACAGTTGTCACTCTGACAAGCTGTGTCTGGCACAGCTCTAGCTGGCTGCCAACAGGCTCCCTGGGCACTCTTTGGAGACCTGGGTGTCTATGGTTACAATTACAGACCTCGTGGCAGTTTGGACTGGACTGACACCTCTTTAGTATGGACATATTTTCCTTTCTACCTTAACATTACATCCAAATTATGGTTTATATTTATGATCTCATATGGAATCAATCCTAAATGTTTAACACTTCCAAAACTAAAGGCTTCAGACTATTTACTATTTCACTATTCTGGATAAGCTGAATTTTGCAGCACTTCAGTTCACAAACTTTTTTTTTTTTTTTTTTTGAGACAGGGTCTCCCTGTCCTGATCAATCAAGGACTCATTTTCTTTCAGCAAAGAAATAGAAGACAGTAGATCAACTATGTTAACTATCCTGTATATACATACATACAAAATTTCTCCTTTCAAGGCCAGTTCAAGCTGGCCTTGAGCTCACTTTGTAGCCCAGGCTGGTCTCAAACTCACAACAATCCTTCTGCCTCAGCCTCCCGAATGCTGGGATTACAGGCATGCACCACCATGTCTGGCTTTTTAATCTTTTTTTTTTTGAACCGGGAATCGAACTCAGGACCTTGCACTTGCCAGGCAGGTGCTGTGCCACTGAGCTATATCCCCGGCTGTTTTTATTTTTATTTTTTTCAAACATTATTCTTTCAATAATTCTGATCACAAACTGAATGTGACAACAATTGAATCAAACTCAGTGGTTAGGTTCAACACTGACATCATTGGGAAATTTGATTCGGTTTTCATTCAATTGGCTTGCAACCAGATTCGCACCAAGAATTAAGCTCATGAATGGAGGCATCACTGTATTTCCATATGGAAGTAATGACTTCAATAAGAGGCAAAAAACGCTATGCTGTAGGAAGGAGCTAATTTGAGGTATGAGGTGCAGACAGTGAAAGAGCAAGAAATGAAAGTGGGAATACTACTCAGCTATAAAGAAAGATAAACTCGAGGCTTTTATAGGTAAATGGTCACAACTAGAGACTATACTCATAAGTGAAATAAATCAGACCTGCATGTGCAAGCACCACATTGTCTCACTAGTGTAAAAGCTGAAAGAGTTAATAAAAACTCGGAGGTATGATAGACATTGTGAAATGATAGGGAATGCTCAAGGGGAAAGGGCAACTGGGATGTGGGAAAAGAGAAGGGAAAGGAGAAATTTTGTATGCATGTATATACAGGATAGTTAACATAGTTGATCTACTGTCTTCTATTTCTTTGCTGAAAGAAAATGAGTCCTTGATTGATCAATATTGCATGTCTCTATCTGTTTTCATGAGAAACCACTTTGAAGATATTAATATGTAATACAACAAGCACTGTTAATTTCCTACCACTTTGTTTGTAACTCTGCATTGTCTGTACTGTTCTTTTGGTATTTCGTAAAAGGTTGTATGTTAAAAAAAAAAAAAAGAAAGAAAGTCGGGGCAGCTGGGCTCACACAGCAGAGGACGCTCAGTGCTAAGAAGCGGTGCTGAACTCATCTGCCGGCAGCCAGCAGGCAGGAGCCGCGTTTCTGAGCAGCACAGCTCCCACTCAGAATTCAGAGAGCGGCCTTGGAGAGAGCAGCAACCTTGAACAGGATGCACTGGGGAGGGGCAAGACAGAAATCAGCAGAGTTCTGTTTGAAGATATTCTGGCAACAAAGATGTCAACTAGTATATCCTTTTAATTATGTCTATGATATACATAAATAAACGCAGAACGTACTTGCTTTCTTCTAAGTGTTGAAGTCGCTTGTTGAACTGAGAAGCTATTTCTGTAAAATTATTTACTGCAGAAAACAGTGAATCTGAAATAGACATTGGAATCATCAAAAACCAAGGACATAATTTCTAACAGTGTCATTCTTTAATTTTAAGAATTGGAATAGAGAAGTCATATTCTTTCGTTGCATAAAGCAGTTATACTTTGAGTATTTTAATACATCAGCATCTATGAAATGGAAAATATGTTGATAGACATGAACAGAGTAGCTGGTCACACAGAACGGTGGTAAACAATAAATGACCTAATGTACATCACTGCATTTTAAAATGAACGGGAACGTAAAAAGAAGGAATTCTGAAAGAGGAAGTGCAACGTACCAAACGAGACGCTGTGTGCTTGCATTTCCTGTGGATATTTCATAGAAATATTGTAGATCTTGTCAGCATATTTTTTTAAAACTGCAGCATAATCTTGACAATTGAAAGGGAGCAGCACGGAAGTGGCCAGTTCAAACACCAGCCCTCCCCGGACCTGCGCCACAGTGAGGTGATATTTAAATGTGGGATCATAAAATCTTTCCACCAACTCGTAAGTTTCATAGACGCTGTGATAGAGTGGGTAGTTGCTGAATTTGTTTGTTTCCTACAAAAAAACCATAAGTGCATCTTCCATAAGACGGCTTATAACAAAACGCATAGTACTGTGTGTACTGGTATTATTACTATGAATGTTTGATCAATGATGAATAAAGAAAAAACACTTGAGCACATCAATAAGCTACTTAGTAAAGAGCTAATATTATAGTACTTTAATATAGTCTAGGCTTGTACCAAGTAAAATATATATCTATATGATGTAAACAATATTATTAAAACATTACTTTGGACAGACCTAACTGACCTAACCAACAAGAGATAGGTTCAGTGCCATGTACCTGTAAACCTAGCACTCTGGGAAGCTGAGGCAGGAGGATCACAATCTGAACCCAGTTCGCACAATCTCTGTCTTAGAATAAAAAAAGCTGTAAAAATGTCTGGGGCTATACCTCAATCCAAAGGCCATGGATGCCATACCAGATCACATACACACACAATGAATTTGAGAGATGTGGAAATACTTTAGAAGCCTGAAAAACTTCACATGTTGCATTTGAATAAAAATAATTTTAGAAAGCCAGAGAACTGTCGGGGGAGTAAGGAAGCATTATTATAAAGCTGTACAGGAAATGTGCCACAGTATCTCATAACAGAAATCCCATACACTAGTCACTCTCTGAGCAGCGGTGTGCCGAAAGGGTCGGAGCAGTTGGGCTCAGTACTGAATCCAGACTCACCAAGGAGTGGGGGTGTTCACAGGACTACAAGGAAAACCAGCACACACATAGAAGTCCATCCACATAAACTGTGTGCTGCTAATTTATGCCTTTTAATCACGTTCAAGTTGTTTACTTTTGTAACTGACACAAAAGAACACTTTATGTAGTGGTACACTGCAGAGACATATTCTAGAAATAGTCAGCCAGGGTTTGAGACCAGGCTTCAAGATTTATTACCAAGAACGTGTCATGGCCACTGGACCTTTCTTTGCTATAATTTTCTCAGAAGGAAAATGCAGGTAATATTAATATCTATTCTTAACATCACCCCACACAATCCTGCCTAACGTCCTATCCCAAGGGCAGGAGACTACAGATTTCCTGCCTGAGAAGAATAACTAGTCCAAAGAAAGACCTGCACATACTTAACATGGGTCATGAATTCTCAGTTTTCTTTTGGGATGTGAACTCAGTGGAAATTTGCAAAGAGCTCAATTCCATTCCCCTACTGCAATACTTAGGTGGGACAGTCTTGAATAACGTCTCCCTCTCATGTAACAAGTACCAGAATCCTTCTTCCTCAACACCAAATGACATAAAAAGGTAACAGTATAAGCTATTGTTTATAAACATGGAGGGAGGGAGGGATCAAAAAACCCCCAAAACTGCAAGACTGCATCTCATGATCAGAACTCGGGGGTGTGGTGTGCATCGAAATGAGATAAGAAGCCACTGATTTAGTTACAAGCTCTTTTAGAATTATGTGAGATTTTATAAACCAAGTATTTATGTTACTTTGATGAAACAAAACTAAAACCATCAACATGAATACACCAAAAAACCCCATCACTTTTAAGTGTTTCTTGTGTGTTATTTCATTTGTCCTTTCAGTATGTGTGAATGTCTTAAGGAATGGAGCTGTAACAAGAGATAAATGACCAAATATTTTCATGTTGATGTGGACTAATTCAGAATAATAAAAGTCCAAAAAAAAATTCCAGTAATGGAATTTAAGTGACTGTATTTCCAATATAATTGACTGAGTGAATGTAGTGTTACACAGAACTCAGAAACAACGTATAGAAATTGAAGCTTGTACACAGGAGGGTGGCTGGCAAGGGGCACTTGAATATGATGGTTAAGACACCATTCAGGAACTGTCCCATGTAGTAAGACCACGAGGCATCTTCCTTCTCCTTTCAGATTCTTCTATTATGCTAATGCATGAGCCACTTTTTGAAGTAAGTTATTTACATCATTCAGATACGCTCATCATTTTCAAGAATTTACTGAACTAGACTCACCCAATTTTTGGTATACCGTGCTCTGCCTGAAGCGATCCCAAGCCTTTGGAAGAACACTTCAAAATCATTACCAGACCCCAACTTGCTAATCCTTAAGGGATAAAAGAACAGAATTATCTCAGAATGTTTTTCATCATGTGTAGACTAAAGATCTCACAAAATATTCACTTCTCTATGACTGTTCTGTGGGGTGACTGTTTTATGTCACATTTTAAAGAATATTCCTGAAGTTGGAAAATGTTTTCCTTCAGATTAGCTCATTCTGTGTATCATCTATCTTTGTTGCATGTTATAAAGTGAAAAGAAGCAACCTTCTTTCAGATAATTTACAAGTAAATTGTTAGATAATTGAAATTATCCATACTGTTGGTACCTATATTTACAAACTATAGAGATATTTGTGCCTCTTCTTTTGCTGAAATGATTCTCATATTTTTATTAGAAAAACCAAACTATTTTAACTTTATGTTAAGAAAAAAAGAATAACCATAGAGTAACAACACAGAAATATAGAATTATCATTATCTCCATTATGTTTTTTTAAAAAAAGGCAAAAAAAAAGAACAAAAAAATCAAGGGGGTTAAAGAAAAACTTAATAACGGAAAAAAAAAAACGGCAATAAAAAGCCCCAAAAAAAGCCCCCCCCCCCGCCCAACCCTAACCCGGTAACCAAGCAATCCTGCCCCCTTCCGAAACAAGTCCAGAAAGCCCCCTTCCAAAAGGGTTTTATGAGATGTGACAAAAAATATAGCGAATGCTTCTGCCGAGTACCATCCAGCAGAAAGGCAGGCTCTTAAAAAACGTTATCGTGTCCTCATCCACCTGACTGACCAGGCAGCTTCCGCCTCATCCCTGAAGGTAAAATGACCATGACAGGTAAGCACTTCCAGCTGACTCAGACGTCAAGGCAGCCGCGTCAGTGCAGCTGAAGCCACTCATGAGAGAGAGAGGACTTCCAGAGCTGCTTCAGCAGGCGGCAGGGGTGACAGGACAAGTGCGCGGGTGCTGAGGTGGAGGATTCTGAGGGAGATTAGTGGCAATGTGTCTTCCACAGGGCTAATTTTTTAAAACATTGAAATAGTCACCATATTTTTATACCTCACAAGTATTAATTATCGTAATGAGAATCTTTTCTTGACTGCTTAGCAATTTAACTAAGTTTTGATTTACTTTAGCAGACTTTGAAGCATTTTGAAATTTTTGTTGTTGTTGTTTTTTTCCGGTACTGGGAATCGAACTCACGACCTTGCGCTTGCCAGGCAGGCGCTGTGCCACTGAGCTAAATCCCCAGCCCCTGAAATTTTTTTTATAAAGGACTGAAAGAAAGTATTTTTATTTTTAAAACCACTGCACCCAACAATGACATTCGGTAGAAAGTGTGAGTGACTGTTCACCTGGGTTTGCCACTGAGCGCAGAGGAAGGACTTTTCTCACTCCAGCTCTCATAGAGGGATTTTCCTTCAAAGCCTTCATCCGGGCTTTGCAGCTGCACGGTCAAAAAGAAGGGAAGACAGTACTTACACACTGGAAGTGTTTCAGCGTAAGCCTCCATGAAACAGGAAGTGAAAAGCTATGCTATAGTTCAGCAAGACAAGAGATGTGATCTCTATATCAGTTGTCAATTAAGGATTATGGCGGGTGTGGCGGCACACACCTGTAATCCCAGCACTTAGGAGGCTGAGGCAGGGACCACTGCAAGCTAGAGGCCAGCCTCGGGCTACACAGTAAGTTCAGGGTGAGCCTGAACTAGGAAGGGAGACCCTGTCTCAAAACAAAACAAAACAAAACAAATCAAAACAAAACAAAACAAAAGAATTCTGAGGCTCGGGGTATGGCTCAGCCATAGAGAACTTGGCAAATATGTGCAAGGCTTTGGGGTCCGTTCCCAACCTCAGGAGAAAAACAGAAACGAAGCACGAAGGAAAGGGCAAGACAGCACAGCACAGCACAGGACAGGGGGTCCAGAATTACTACCGAACTATTTCCTGTCTTTAGAATGCTGGTCGTATTCATGATTGTATGTGTGTGCAGTTTCCTAAACTGAAGGGTATTCCTTTTATAGACATATTTCTGCTTTGCATAAAAAATGAAATAAAAAAACCAAGCTGGTTAAGGCAAAAGAGCCCTTTCGGCATTCCTCAAACAATACATAGTAACGCACTGTAATTAATATTTCACTTAATCAAGTGGTTATCTGTTGTAATTTTGTTAACCACACGACCTTAAATTCATTTTCTGGCTTAAAATTTTAGATAGAATAGTAAAATAACTGATTATTGAATTCCAGACTCAGTATTACTTGTACCAAAAATACTTAGCAAAATTAATGTTTCACATTTGTAAGTAATTAAGCAATGCATAGTATGAAATTTTTTATGAAATTAGTATGAAAATTTAATAAAAGTCAAATGTACTATTTCTGATCAAATTCAATTCAAAAAGTTCATAGACTACCTACGCTATTTAAGATTTTTTGTAGATGCCAGGAATACAAAGTTCATTACTAAGACACATATGATGTTCTTTTTAGGGAAACTTTCAGCAAAAAATGTGGAAATCAGAGTGCTACGTGCTACAAAGATGCAACTAAAAAGATTTACAGAGACACAAATTAAATTTGCAGGGCATGAAGAGAGTCAGAAATTGGAGCTTATGTCAACTTCCTGGCTTATAAAATATGAATAAAGAAACAGTTACTTTACTTGACTCTTTAAATTTACACAAATCTTTACTATCAGAGACATCTATTAAGAAATGTATCTTTGAAACATTGTCAAATATATATTGCTAAATTGTTAATTTACCAGAAAAATTGGAAATACTGCAAATCATTTTTTAAAACAAAACAAAAATGAAACAAAACAAACATTTTCAAGCATCAAGTATTTTAAGTCTGACCTAGAGAGCAATGTTTTACCAATTTTAACAGGATGCTACAAAATCAGCTAGTAAACAAAATAATTGCTAAGCTTCCTCAGCATTTATTTTAAATTACCTGAATAGTGGGCATCCTCTGATATAGCATGGTTTCACAAATTTAGATTTTTGTGTTATATCATGATTGATAAAACTATAGGAAAATGATGGATCTCTTAAGTAACTAGGTGAGTAGATGTTTTCAAATTAAAATTTTCCACTCCAAAGTGAGAAAATATATGATTAAATTCCATGCTTTTAAAACCAAAACTTAATGAGATGTAGGTTTTATTTATAGTCCTTCTCTGAAGGACTGTAACTGTGTTATTGGAAATGACACTTCAATCAGTAATTCTAATCAACAAGAAGTTTTCCTGCTTTCTAACTCAAGTCATTTTCACATAATTAGTAGTAAAAACATGTGACATGCAGAAGCTCCTCAGTTTTGGCTAACTTGTGGAGCAGGAACGATGGAGTTATGGAGTACGAAGAACTACGGTGAAGAGGTGCTGCCCTACAAAAATTTATGCACAACCTCTCAGCCAGGTTCTGCACTCTCTGCTGTTGTGAGGATCCTGGTTAACAATGAACTGTTATGCCAGCCTCAGCGGGGCTGGAGGATTGGAGCTGAAGGTGTAAGTTTGGAAAGGAACTGTAAGGTCTCACCTAATTTCTGCCCTAAAATGATTTGGTATTTTTGTTAATCAGCTATCTTACAGCTGTGTAGAAATACTGGTCACTCACAACTTCAAGGAGAAGTTTATTCTGGCTCACTGTATCAGAGGGGTCAGTCCATGGCTACGGGCCCCAAGGCGGGAACATCATGGTGGAAGGATGTGACGGAGCTAAGCTGCTCTGTTCATGGTGACCAGGAAGCAGAGCACAAAGGAAGAGGGCCACAGAGGGATACACCCCCGAAGGTGCACTCCCCTGGGACCCGTCTCAGACTCGGCCTCACCACAGCTGTGCCACCAGCGGATTAATCTGCCCATGAATGTGGAGCCCCTGTGAGCCAATAACTTCTCCAGGAATCTCTTAACTCAGCCAAATCGACAATTAAGATGAACTGGCAGTGTTTTTATGCCTATTCTCATTTAGAACATTTAGCTATTTTTGTGCCTTGGCCCTGAATTATTTGGTATCAAGGAGTATAGTCCGTGAAATTAAGGAGTTAGACTGTAGGACCAAGAACTGGTTCAGCTACAGAACAAGTTGTATGACTTCAGTGACTCGTGTTTTTTCAGCTCGGTATCCTTATTTTCAAATGGGAGACAGTAGATGTAACACTACCTGCAGGCTGCCTCAGTGTGGAAGAGAAGAAGCACTGTACGTACATAGTCTGAGGTGATGTTCAATGGATATTTATTACATGAAAAAAGACGACGAGTTCTAAAAGAACATCAATGTTTAAAATACAGTGACATCTCAAGAAAGCATCACTGGTAGGACACAGATTTTCTTATAAGATATGTAACTGTTTTTACCTCTTTTGTTAGATTGTATACCAAGCTGTACATCAGTGGTGTACAGTCAACCCTTAGAGTGTAGTTTCCTGAAAGATAAGGAAAAAATACATTGTTAAACTCTCCAAGTATTCCTGCCTTACTCTGTAAAACCCATGACCATCGTCATGGCCTGCATTGTCAGATGTAAAACAACCACCCCATCTCTCCAAATCTTTCTCTCGCATTCTGCCCAAGTATACTTCCTTGGGATCCTTGCACAGTTTCCTCATCTTGTATAACTTACTGCTTCTTTTTTTGTTTGTTTGTTTTGTTTTTTTGGTACCAGGAATCGAACTCAGGACCTTGTGCTTGCCAGGCAGGCGCTTGTGCCTCTGAGCTATATCCCCGGCCCACTAACTGCTTCTTTGGTCTCATGTTTTCTGAGATAGTTCCCCTGAGCATGCTACAGGAAACAGCATGCTCTTTCTCTGCCTAGCCTGGCTACTTCCTTCTCTAGTTGTGCTCGGTCTGTTCTTCTCCACATTACCCACCTACCTGATAGATTAAATCCTTGTCATCTTGTTGTTAGCTCTCCCACAGGTCTCTAAGTTCCGTGGAGCAAGTGCTGTCTTCTATTTGCTGCCATCTCCCTCCCATGTTTACAACAGTCTCAGCAGTTAGCATTTACCTAGTAAGTACACTGAGTCCCTGATTTTTGAATGAGTTCCGCTCCAGGAGAAAGTTCAGAACTTGGATTTCTTCACAAGTTCGACAATGTGAGCGGTTCCCTGGGGGTCTAGTGGCTAGGATTCGGCGCTTTCACTGACAATGTGAGTCTTATATCTCTTTGACACCAATATACAATGTAAACCATGAAAAAGCCAAATGCACAATGCACACACCCAAATACAGTAATTCCCCAAAGTGCACTGCCGCACTGTGCAGTAAGCACACAGCAGCACGAACTACGGCAATACCCGGCAGGCGCACGAGCTACTTCCCAGTTTGTTGGCATCTACCAGCGTTTGCAACTGGAAGTCCATTTGCATCTGAGAAAGAGCTTGAATGTTCCTAAGTGGGGACTTGGTGCAGCTGCTCTCTGGCTGGTCCCGAAGAGAGAGTGGAGAGCGCACCTCTCACTCTCAGGAGCGCAGGGCGGATGGGTGCAGAGTCTTTGGAGCCCTACAGCCTGTGGCGGGGAGCAGGGGGAAGGACTGCCGCCTCTGGAGGGATGCTGGGCTGGCGCGGTCACAAGAACTTCAGTGAGCCTGACTCTCTAAGAACCAGAGGGCGTTGGCAGCTTGGGCCAAAAAGAAACAGCACTGTCACCTAAGGACAGTCTCCACCAATGCCCAGGAATGGGTGAGCACCAGATGCCCTCAGTGGATGGCAAGGCGTGCCATCCAAAGCTAATATCTGTATGTGGAAAAAGCAAAGTGTGAGGTCTTAAAAATAATAACAACCCGACACATTTATCGAACTTGAAAAGTTGATGTTCAAATTCCAAAATTCACCTGGAGGAATAAATATGAGTAAGTAGCCAATGAAATGTGTACATACAGAAGTGCTCTCCTCCTAAGAGAGGGGGCAAGGAGGGGAGGGGAAGGAGATTCAAAAAGAAGGAATAGGTGTTAGGCACACGAACCAACTCCCTGTGGTGAAGGCAATCATTATGTTTTATAAACATTCTAATAAAAAATGAAAGAATAAAATTGTTTTTAAAGGAGCGTAAACTGGGTGGGATGGTTAGGCAGTATTCACTACCGTTTATGTGCGCATGTCCCAGGCTCAAACAATTATACTTGCAGCTCTCTACCCTCCTCTCACCTTACACAGACTAGGACACCAACATGTGCAAATAAAAAGATATTCACTGAAAAAACGAAACAGAGAATTGATATGTATTTAGTCTGCAGAAACCTTTTAACCCTTCGTTTTTGTTTGCCTTTTAGTTTGCTTTTTCCCTTTAGTGCTGAGAATTGAAATCAATGGGCACTGAGCTAATCTCTGACCTTCTAACGTGTATGAGATATGATCTCACTAATTTGCTCATGCTAGGCTCATATTTGCCATCCTCCTGCCTCAGCCTTCTGAGTACCTGGAATTATAGCTATATGCACTGTGCCCAGCTTGTTTTGCTTTGCAAGTGAAGCAGATCAACAGGTATCACAGATATGGAAAGTATCCTACAATATGGCTACAATGTGCTGCTGAAGGAAAAAGAGACACTGTAGAAGCACTCAGCCAGAACGTGGAACGACATACCCACGGGAGGTAGTAAGAGGCGATGGCTTGTGGAAGTCAGAAGGATAAAGTCGAGAGACAGAGTAGTTCTGAGTGCTAAACCCTTGCTAGCTAGTTGCGCGACCTAGGGGAAGTTGCTTAGTCTCTCTGAGTCTGTTTCCTTTTCTATACAACACAGATAATAAAAGCACTTATCCTCATGGGGTAATTGTGAGTGTTAAATAAAATTGAAC